AGTGGGTCCAATACTTCATAGGCCACAATAGCTGGTGTGAAGCAATATAACATTTAAAATTTTTCTGTAACTAAATCTAGTCTTTATCTCTCACCTGATGTCTCAAAACACAGTCAAGCTAGCTCCAGATAAACTCAACCATTTCAGTGCGTTTCTTAATTATTTCAAATTTAAATCTAGTCAGTCATTCAAGAATTTTCCCCAACTCCTCATTCCAAAGTATTAGTGGTGTTTGGGGGCGTGTCTTCAGTCAGATTCCTTCACCGCAGAGCCTGAGATGGGGGTTCTTAGGCAGTGACTGACTGAGGGAGTGTTCTCAGCAGAAAGCTGTAAAGAAATGAAGGAGGCCTGGAGCGGAGGCTCACGCCTATAATCCTAGCTCTCTGGGAGACCGAGGCGGGCAGATAGTTTGAGCTCAAGAGTTCGAGACCAGCCTGAGCAAGAGCGAGACCCCCGTCTCTACTATAAATAGAAAGAAATTAATTGGCCAACTAATATATAGAAAAAACTAGCAGGCCACTTGGGAGGCTGAGGCAGGAGGATTGCTTGAGCCCAGGAGTTTGAGGTTGCTGTGAGCTAGGCTGGCGCCACGGCACTCACTCTAGCCTGGGCAATAAAGTGAGACTCTGTCTCAAAAAAAAAAAAAAAAAGAAAAGAAATGAACGAAGTGGGGTACCTCAGGGGAACAAACCAAGCACAGTGAGATTTCAGCTGAAATCTAGTGGCAGCTTGCCAGGGAGCCCAGCAGTGTGATCAACCCTACTGAGGCATGAGCAGGTTTTTGTGCCCTGTATCAGCCAGCTGCTGGTTCCCAGGGAGGATAACCCCCCAGGTAGTTCTGGGCAGTGCCCAGGTGAAGGTAGTTCCCCGGAGAAGGGTAGCTCTGTGAGCTAGTATCAGCCAACAGTCACAACAGCTGGTGATGGGCGTGCTGCTCACATGAAGGGCACAGAATGGGACCAACAGTGTCTACTAGAAGGAGCTTCCAAGGCACCCAGGCATCGGGCCAGCGTCCTGAGCACTTATGTTGCTCAGATTCGTCTGCCCGCCACCAGCGAACCAGACACAAGAGGTGAGTGTTGGCGAAGGAAAAGTGCCGGGAGCCTGAGGAGATAGTGGACTATTGTCTCAAAGACAATCTCATCTTTCTCTGCTTGCCAAGCAACTTAGAAAGGGAAGGGGTGAGGGAGGTTGGTGGCAGAAAGCAAGCGTTGTGCAAGTCATTATGACTTGCTCAATGGGTATCACCAGATGATAGGTCGTCTGGTGGATCTTGTCATCAGCAGCCTATCCCAGACTCTGGATCTGTTTTTTCCTCAAGGTCATGTTCTAATCTTGTGCCGGGCAGCCGGGTAAGCAGACAGCAGGTTAATCCTAAACTTTTAAGATGGAACTAACCGAAAGCACCGTGGAAGCAAAATGGCTTCCCTTTAGCCAGCCTGGTGTTAGAGTCTGAATGGCCCCTGGGTGCACTGACACCAGGTCTTCTACCACTGTGTCACCCAGGGGTCTCCATTTGCCAGCAGTTCTCAACACTGTTGCTGCACAGTTGTGCCAGCGCCTTTGGCACACAGGTGGCCACCATCAGCTGAGACCTAAGTGAAAACGCACTTGTGGCTAATCCCGTAGCACCTCTGCATCCCAGCCCCGAGACCCCCACAGGCAAGCTTCTCCCTGCTGCTCCGCCCTCTCTCAGAACCTTCTCATCCCTCTCAGAGCCTGGAAAGCTCTGACTGCTCCCCTGGACCTTGCTGGGTGAACAAAGTGTGTGCGGCTGCCCGAGGGTCTGTGCGGGTCTTGAGGGGGTTACACCCATCCCTGAGGCTCCATCAGCCGTGGAATTATGAAAACTTTTCAGGAGATTCCCTTCTGGTGCTTCCAGGGTTTCAAGCCCTGAAGGAAACAGTTGTGCCTCTTCTCAAACTTACCTGCCAGCCACTTCCACCGAGTGGCTGTCCTCCCTCTGTCTGGGCAAGGCTTCTCAGGTCTCTGGGCTGGTGCTGCTTCATGTAGTCTCTTTACAGTTGAGGAGTGAACTCTGATCTTTTCTTCTCTTGCCCAGATTCCTTTCTAACAGACCATGCCTACAAATGATAACATCTCATTAGACAGGGGTTTCTTTTTTGAGACAGAGTCTCACCTTGTTGCCCAGGCTAGAGTGAGTACCATGGCGTCAGCCTAGCTCACAGCAACCTCACACTCCTGGGCTCAAGCAATCCTCCTGCCTCAGCCTCCCGAGTAGCTGGGACTACAGGCATGTGCCACCATGCTCTGCTAATTTTTTGTATATATATATTAGTTGGCCAATTAAATTATTTCTATTTATAGTAGAGACGGGGTCTCGCTCTTGCTCAGGCTGGTTTCGAACTCCTGACCTGGAGCAATCTGCCTGCCTTGGCCTCTCAGAGTGCTAGGATTACAGGCGTGAGCCACGGTGCCCACCCTAGATAGGTTTTTATTAAGCCTGAATAGTGTGGGTTAACTTTGCAACCTGATTCTGGAATAGCGTCACATGACAGAAAGAAGACCCCCTTAAGCATTCCTTTCAACTGACTCGGAGTCTTAGAAGCTTAACTCTTGCAGCCAATTGCCAGCTAAAGAATCCCTAAAAGCCACCCATGACTTGTAAGCCCGCACATGAAGATGTCCTGCCTTTTGGGGCCAATGTACACCTTCCATGCATTGATTTATGATTTTACCTGCAATTCCTGTCTCCACTGAATGTATAAAACCAAACTGTAACCCGGACATGGGCGCATTTTCTCAAGACTTCCCGAGATCATGTTCCCCAGGCTACAGTTGCACGTATTCGGCTCAGAATAAACCTCTTTAAATTATTTTACAAAGTTTGGAGTTTTTTCCCCGTTTTAACACAGTGTCTTGTTTAGGTGAAACTTCATGCCTGGGGATTTTTCTATTGATACTTTAAACTTTTGGAACTAAAAAAACCTTTTTCTTAACAGCCTTGATTTTTTTTTTTTTCTTTCCTTTCATAACTATTGTCTCAGCTGTGGGACTCAAAAATGTATTCTTGAAACACAAAAGCCGAACAATAACTGTGTCTTTCTTTTTGCATTCCTGCTTTAATAACTGTAATCCTCCCAGAGGCAACAAATGCCTCCGACTAGAGAATCTGAAACAAGGAGGTTTCCAGAAGCGTGCAGGCCCCTGCCGCAGACAGGAGGGCAGGGAAAGGGCAGGCCCCATCTCGGGCAGTTGAAGGATGGGAGGTTCGCCACAGAGGAGGAAGGTGCCAGAAAGGCAAATGGGAAAGAAACGTGGAAAGAAACCGGGATGAGAGGTTTCAGAGGTTTCAGTTTCGTTAGCAGAACCCCGGATCACTCCGCCTCTGCGGCCCGCCCTGCACCGGGCAAGTCAGGACTTGCAGGATCCGGACCCCATGGGAGAGAATAGGATGGAGAGAAACCACTTACAATTTATTCAAGATATTCTAAATATGCATCAATGACAATGCTGGCCTAGGTCCAGGTGCACCAACAAATATCCCAAATGCCTACTACTGGAGAATTTTGAAAACAAAAGAATTCAGTTCAAAATATATCTGACAATAAAGGGAGTAATATGGAACTGGTAAAAGGAAAGTATTATTTTCCTTCATTCTAGGGAACACAGATAAAGATGGGATATTATTCTGGTTTAAAAAAATTAGAACTCGTGGCATGATCTAAAACGGATTTAGTAATTTAAATGAAAAGTACAACTACCCAGTGTGTTACAGAAACTCACCAGGGTAAACTGAGGCTTGGCCACATAATCCCTCTTCGGCTCCAGATATTTGGGTCAAAGAAACTTATGCGAACTTTTTTTGGTAAGCATTTTTGTCTATTTATAAATAAATGTTCAGAGTTGGTTTTTTTTTTCCACTTTTTTGGCCTTTTAATTGATAATTCATTATCGGTCAGCTCTGGATTGGTTTATAGTTGGTACTCATATTGTTAACATATACTGAGTGCTTATTATAAGTACTTTATATATAATAACTCATTTAATAACTCACAACCCTATGAGATGGATATTATGAATGCTCCCATTTTACAACTGAGGAAGCTGAAGAAGATTTAAATACTGAATACCACATACTGTTTATGTAGCATCTCATATAATCCTTTAAAAAATAGCTTTGAGGTTCTATTTCCTCCATTTTATAGATGAGGAAATTAAAACTCAGAGAGGTAAATTTGTTTTAAGTTGACACAACTTTAAGTGATGAAGGAACAATTTTAAACCAATCTCCTTAATACCCAAATTCCTTGTTCATATAATGGTAAAAAGCTAGAAATAATCTATATATCCAATTACAAGTAATTAGTTAAATAGATTAATGATACATCCGCACAATGGAATATTATGCAGCTATCAAAAACGATGCTGAAGATATAACATATTGATCTATAAAAGAAACTTTTTGGCCAAGAAAACAGGCAACTATATACGCAATGTAATTTCATTTGAAAATATGTAAACATATAAACGTGTATACTTTCCTAGAAAGGAATATGGAAGCAAATTAAAACTTTTTGACCCTTGTTCAAAAATTAAGAATTTCAAAATGGCAACAGCAAAGCATCAAACCTTCTGAGCACAGGGCCCTGTGCAACTGCACAAGTCACACAGCTGGGAAGTGGGCCCTGGTTGGAAGTACTCTTTATGTTCTTCTTTTTGCTTGGCAGTGTTGCATTGCTTGTAGGGCTTGCTTTGAAAAAAAATGATAAAATAAGCAATAAAAGAAAGGGTGTCAAATGTGGTAGAATTTTGGAATATATACATACAAATATAGATATATATATGCATAAACATATAAATAAGCATATTTTTTCTCATTGCCTACCTTTCTTCTTTCTTTCTTGCCTAAATAGTTGGGTCCTGGGGAGTAGGGTTAGTGGCCCAGCACAAAGTGAAGCTCAAAAGAGATGAGAAAGGCCTCTGCGTGGAGTCGGGGTGACGGTGGCAGCATGGCATGAGGACAGTGTCAGCAGGGCATGAGGGGACCTCGTCAGATAAGGAAAGCATCTAGACAGGGGCCGCTGCCTGCCATGGGTCATGGAGGCAGAGTAAGGTGAGGAAGATGCCCACGCACGGAGCACAGATTGATCACATTGGGGTTAATCCAATAAACAAATATATTGAAATATATTTCAAAAATCAAAATGAAATATATTTGAGAAATCATGGGGACCAGATTTCTCATTGTTAGAAAAAGCAGTTAGAAATATAGTATAGGAGAAAACTGGAATAAATTCTGCAGTGTGTACGATTAGAATTGGCTATATCAGTGTTTTCGTGTTTTCCATCACATATGTGTACGTGTGTGCGCACACGTGTATTTGTAGATATATATTCCCCAGCTCTTCCTGTTGAGCAGGCCAGGCGGCAATGTCACTGTGATGATGTTGAGCGTACCTAGTGTCCAGATACCAGTTTCTAAATGCTGTTCTCTCTGCAAAAAAGCAAAACAACAAACTCCAGAGCTCTTTAAAGAGATACCTGATTCTAGGCCGGGCACAGTGGCTCACGCCTGTAATCCTAGCACTCTGGGAGGCCGAGGCGGGCGGATTACTTGAGGTCAGGAGTTCGAAACCAGCCTGAGCAAGAGCGAGACCCCGTCTCTACTATAAATAGAAATAAATTAATTGGCCAACTAATATATATAGAAAAAATTAGCCAGGCATGGTGGTGCATGCCTGTAGTCCCAGCTACTCGGGCGGCTGAGGCAGCAGAATCGCTTGAGCCCAGGAGTTTGAGGTTGCTGTGAGCTAGGCTGACGCCATGGCACTCACTCTAGCCTGGGCAACAAAGTGAGACTCTGTCTCAAAAAAAAAAAAAAAAAAAAAGTACCTGATTCTAGCTCTGAGGCAGGAAAAGTACAAGGTAATCTTGGTGTGTGCACTTGCATCTGTGTGTGTGTGTGTGTGAAAGTAAAAACTTGTTCAAAGAATGATGACAATAAAAAAAAAAATCACAAAAGCCAGCCTTACTGGGCCTCCACTAGCTAAATCTGGGACAATCTGACCATCAATAAACAATGATCAAAACAGATGTTGCCTATTGAATAAAATAAGCATCCATGAGTCCATATTAATTTACATAAACACAAATAAATGAATGAAGAAAAAAATAATGCTTTCCTTATAATGTCAACTAATAAATGTGGAAGGAAGGAATGATGGAATCAGAAAATAACCATTGGCATCATAGTAGAAAATCTTGCATGCTTCTAGGCAAAGAACAGAAAACATTCAAAGGTAACTAACAAAGGAAAGATGACTGGGTTAGTAACAGACTTCTCTGTAACCTTAGCTGAATCAGATAATTTGCATTTACATTCACAGTACATTGGCAATATCTCCATATCAAGTAAATTTGTCTCTCACACGTGAGAGCAAAGTAAAGTTTTTTGCTTGTTGCAAGGGCTCTAAAAATATCTTACCCATATACCTTTCTGAGAAAATTCTCTCACCAAATGAAAGTTAAATTTCTTGATAAAAAGATAAAGATAAAAGATTCATGAAACATTGAGGAATAATGAATCTTATTTATAATTAAATCTAAATGAATGATGATAGTAAGCTGGGAATTACACTCTTAAAAATTTTGAAACGAGAGACATTCTGTGAAGGAATATTTGTTAATAGTCTGGGATTTAAATCCTATAATTATCCAAATTTAAGATTTGAGTGATAGGAAGGATATAGGTAGCTAAATGTTCTAAAGGTTTCATTTCAGTATAAGGCGTGGAGAAGCATAGAACTATTAATCCAGTGTGGTAGGAAGTTAAAGTTATTTACTTTTTGATATATCAATAGAAATACATGGATTTAGTTATAACAGTTGGAGGCTGGGCATTGTGGCCACACCTGTAGTCCCAGATAATCAGGAGGCTGAGGCAGGAGGATCGCTTGAGCTCAGGAGCTTGAGGTTGCTGTGAGCTGTGATGACACCACTGCACTCCACCCAGGGTGACAGAGTGAGACTGTCACACAAAAAATAACAATTAGGAACTGAAAGACAGTGATTAGTAGGTTTGAAAAGTATATGTGAATTAGGGAGTGAGCAAGTCGGCGATCATAATTAGTCTTCACATATAAATATAACTGTTAAATTTAGGGAAGTTATGAGTAGCAACATGGAGATGATTAGTGGAAATTCCAATTTACAGGAGGAATGAAATAAAAAGACTTGATCAACACAAGTAAGGAACAGAGATAAAAAGACATATAAAAATATACAATAAGATGGAAGGAGTAAAATTACATAAATTTTTACTCTAAATGTGAAATTCTCTAATCAAAAAGCAAATACTCAGGGTCTCAACAAGATGGCACATTCAAAAATAGGATAATTTGAGGAATTTACTCAGGAAAGGAGTGGGACATAAAACTACGAGGCATAGTGTTAATACTGGGGCTAATACCAGCAGAGCTGTGACCCCTCCTAGGACCAAAGGGACCAGCGAATGGTACAGTTACTAGAACCTAGAAGGAAAGTCATGTAGAGGAGGCTACACCTAGAGGCGCGGTAACCGCTAGCTGGAGTAGCAGCTGGCCAGAGGTGACATCACAGAGAAGGAGCTGCCGAGGGACTTCACTCTCCTCCCCTTGATCTAGCCAGAGGGCACGAGTAGAAGTTGGTGTCACTCACACAGGTCAACCTCTTGAAGCAGCGAGCGGGGTGCAGAAGGGCAGGGAGTGGACCCGGAGCAGCAAGCGGACGAGACACCTGCCACGTGCTCTGTTTACAGGAACTGCACCTGAATCAGAGCGAGGAGGCTTTGCTCGCAGGACTCAGGAAAGGTGCCTGTCTTCTGTTGCTCCTAACAGAATGCCTGAAACTGGGTAATTTATAAAGAAAAGGAATTTATTTCTTACAGTTATGGAGGCTGAGAAGTCCAAGGTTGAGGGGCCAGGTCTGGTGAGGGCCTTCTTGCTGGTGGGGACTCTCTGCAGAGTCCGGAGGTGGCACAGGACATCACATGTCACATGAGCGTGCTAGCTCAGGTCCCACTCCTGTTATAACCCATTAATCCGTTAATGGATTAATCCATTAATGAGAGGCCCAACCTCTTACGATTGCCACATTGGAGATTAAATTTCAACATGAGTTTTGAAGGGGACAAATGTTCAAACCATAGCAATACCTAACTGAAACGGGACTTTTCCAAATATCCAGAAGTTGTGGAATCCATGCTAGGCCCAAACCTGGGGGCGGGGCCACCAAATGTCCTCTCACAAGACAGACACTTAAAAGCCAAATTATCAGAATATCCCTGCAGCACTTAATGGGCGCACCAAGCAATATCCGATCTCCCAGTCTATATAAAGAGAATGAGGAGGAGGAGGAAAGGTGATTTTTAAGCCCCGAGGACTACAGTATTCCTGGTGAGAAGCACTTGGAGAGGAAATGCTTGCAAGATGGGGTGGCTTGCATCTGGTTCCGTGGCTGGATACCTGCTGAGTTGAGACTTCACGGGTCCATTAGGTGATGCACCGAAGTCATGCAAGGTCAGAGGGTTCGCGGGAGAGTGCTGTGGTCTCCTGAAGTGTGGGCCATGCAGAAACACGGACACTGTGTCTGCTTCTGGCCTAGAGAACCTTAAAGGTGGAGGCCACTCATGCCAGCAGGGCTTGAAGGAACCGTGGTGAGGCATAAATAGGAAGACGACGAGGCAACTACCCTCCCATCCGGCTCCCACTGGATGTGATGCTTATATAGGATTTTAGCCCTTGTTCAGTAGTAGACAGGATACTAGCCACCACTGCATAGGATAGTTACACCACTTTTTAAGACTCTTTTACAATATATTAAATACATGAACAAATGATTCACACAAAAGCTATTTGGTTAATTATGTACACAAAGTGCTTAACCGCAGCAGTATGTGTAACACTGGCAAAATACCCCTTAAATAGCCAAAAATAGCAGGATAGTGAAATGAATTATACTTGATTAAATGTAATCAACTTGATGAAATTTAATTCTTATACTAATTCTATAAATTATGTAGTAAGAGAGGAAATTATAACGTTAAGTAAAGAGAATAGCATGTAACAATATTTCTCGACTGTGATTGCAACAGTGCAATAAAGGACATAAGCCAGTGCACAAGTAAAACAAGATCAATTGATGTCTTAGGCTAGTGGGATGTGGGTATTTTTTTTTTTTTTTTGAGACAGGGTCTTACTTTGTTGCCCAGGCTAGAGTGCAGTGGAGTCATCATAGCTCACAGCAACCTCAAACTCCTGGGCTAAAGTGATCCCCCCACCTCAGCCTCCCGAGTAGCTGGGACTCCAGGCACGCGTGACCTCACCTGGGTAATTTTTCTTATTCTTTTTGTAGAGACAGGGTCTCAATGTGTTGCTCAGGCTGGTCTCAAACTCCTGAGCTCAAGGGATCCTCCCACCTCGGCCACCCAAGGTGTTGGGATTACAGGTGTGAGCCACTGTGCCTGGCCCCCATCTTCATTAATTTTGTTGCCATAAAGTTGCTTAATCAGTAAATGAAATTACAAGCCTCAAAAAGCAGAACAAATGGGTAGAAGAAGAAGAGGCCGCTTATTAGACAACCTTTGAGGAATTTTGCTGTGCAGGGAAGCAGAGAATGAGGTAGTATCTGGAGAGTGGTGTGGGGTCTGGGGAATGGAGGGGTATTTTTGAAGGTAGGAAAAATAGAAGCATATTTTCATACTGAAGAAAACGATCTATTAGAAAGGGGGAGGCCGGGCGCGGTGGCTCACGCCTGTAATCCTAGCACTCTGGGAGGCAGAGGTGGGCGGATTGCTCGAGGTCAGGAGTTGGAAATCAGCCTGAGCAAGAGCAAGACCGCGTCTCTACTATAAATAGAAAGAAATTAATTGGCCAACTAATATATATAGAAAAACTAGCTGGGCACGGTGGTGCATGCCTGTAGTCCCAGCTACTCGGGAGGCTGAGGCAGGAGGATTGGTTGAGCCCAGGAGTTTGAGGTTGCTGTGAGCTAAGCTGATATGCCATGGCACTCACTCTAGCCTGGGCAACAAAGCGAGACTGTCTCAAAAAAAAAAAAAAAAAAGAAAGGG